GTATAGCTTTGACAGATTTTATTGACTAGTATTATGAAACGATCAAGTGTGTACGATCAAGAAAACAAAGAGAAAAAGAAGTACTATAGAAATATAGTGTTGCCGAGGTTAGCACTTGTGCCACATGGAAAGCAGATGCTGATGTGTGACAGACAAACCGTTGAGTCTTAGTAAGTTTTAATGCTAGTCATTTTCCATGCATGTAAACAATTAATTATTTAAATTATTGTGTACCCCTGTATATAATTTTGCACCATTAAATTAAGGTGCAACATTCTGAGCTGGGACTAAAGACAAGTTATAATGATAGTACTGACGAGGATGCCTTTCTTTTCTCCCTGTGACATCTGGAAGAGTCCAGCTTAAATCTTAAATCAATAAATTCTATTATTCTCACTCACAAGTCACAGCTTTTTACGTATGAGGAGAACATGTGTTCTTTTCTAAAGATTCTGAAGAAATGTGGCAAATTTTAGAATTCAGTGACTAATTTAGCGTTGGTTCAGTTACTGTATTTGGTTACTGTAAAAGGTGATATTAGTTAGTTTATTAGGTGGTATTCCTTCCTTGTGGTGGACTTTTGGCCACTAGTGGATGTTCTAGGCTCTTTTTTGCATTTGTATCCCTAAAATATATTTCACACCTTTTCATATTATTATTTTTTGTCCATCATTCAGTGGTTAATAGACAGACTTTTTAAATCTAGTTCTGTTTTATTGTGATTTTTCTGTGCTTGTAAGTTTGTTCAGCAATGCACTTGTGATGTATTGACTGAATGACAATAAAGGAATCTGAATCGGTCATCAGTGCCCTTAGCTCCTGCTGGTATTGATTTCAGCTGCTTTCCTCAAAGAGGGGATTAGTTTATTTCAGTAGCCTATACCCTTTTACTTTGCTAACGGATATTTTGCCTGTCATGGCTACAAGCTGCCAAACTACATTAACCTTTCCAGTTGTCCCTGGGGCATCATTTCAGGCGGGTGTATGGGTCGATTATACGCAAGTTAGCCCACATGTCCTTTTTTCAATAATATGAGCTACTTTTTTCAAGTTGGTGTGTTTTACTTATACTCTTTTCCTAACCCTAACCATGTACTGGTTTTCTGGCAGTGTATAGTATAAGGCAGCAGCCCACTTAACCTATCTGCCAGGCATTTTTTATGGTTTTCATTTAACTAATACCTAAATAGATCTCTGTTCCTGTTAATACTTTTTACACATTAACAAACCAGCTTGAGCAGTTTTGTAGCAGTACAAAACTGATATCCATTCACAGTAACTGAGTCCAGAAACCTTGTTAGGCTAAAGCTTTCACCACTGTGTGCAGCTGTGAAGGATGCAAAAGATTCACGCTGGAAGTGTGAAACTGTGACTGTTTCACACCTCCCTGCTCTTGTTCTGCACACAGATAATGCAGCTGTTGGGTTTGAGCATCAAATTGATTAAGGTTTAGTTTATAAGAAGGTGGACGGCACTATATTAATTAGATGTAACATTAAATTGTATTGGAACATCTTATTCCTGTGTCTCAGACAAGATTGTTGTGAAGTCCGTGTCAAGGTACCAACAACAAAGGACACATTACGCATCGCACGGAGGCATCCAGTAAAATGTAGCATTACAAGCTCCGGGATGAGAAGGCACTGGCATGCCATAGGCTTTGTTTGTGTGTGGCCTTTTAGGAAGATTCAGTGTGCTAGGACAATGAGAATAAAAGATTTGAAAGTGGAGAGAAATCGGTCCAATCTGTGCTGGTATGGAATAGGAAGAAGCAAAGCCGGTGAGCTAGTTTAAGCAGATGAGTTGAGCTGCATGGTATCATGCTTCCCTCTGCTCAGATCATACATTAATGACATGCAGTTTGGTGGTTTATTTAAGCAGCAACGTTTCCCATCTCTCTCATTTCTGACATGTTGATATTTATAACTCGAGAGGTCGAAAGCAGCCGATGTTACAACTATAATCTTTAACAGCAT